CCCCCTGTAAGCCTACAAAAAGTAGCCCTGCATGCTTATTGGACAAGACACACTGTTCTTTTACTCTGCCAGCAATTCCCGTGGTGGGCAATTAAACCGAGTCACTATCTTCTGTAATGCAGGAGAGTTCAGTCCCGAAACCTGAATAGTGGAGGTTCGTAATGAGGTGTGGAAACTTCCACTTTGTTCTCCAGGATGGACATTGCCCATCGTGGGACAAGTTTAGCCATTCCCCTCTGCCAGTCAGTTCAGGGGTCAGTGTGAAAGGTATTTTTGACTTACCTAGTTCCAGAAAAGAATCATCTGAGGAAATGCAAGCAGCTTGTGTGTCCCACCTCCCTGTTTTGTTAACCACAAGCATAATTGTCAAGTCATGTGATAGGAGTCTGTCATCATGGGAAATAGAAAGAGCAAATCCTTACTTCATCCTTAAGTTTGAGGCCGAGTAGTTCCCCTGGCTTTACCTAGTATGTTCCCAAGAGGGCAAAAGCAACTGATTGTCCTCAAGCACTGTATGGCACTTCTAAGGTTATTCTTGGGGCGTTTTTTCCCTTTATTTTTACCCCAAGATTTCAGAAGAGAGTCTGGCTCACGTTCTGTGGGTAGGTTCCTTCATTTGTTCTCTTTCATGAGTTCTTTTAATCTTTTCCTTCTCTAAAAATTTAAAGTTGTAAAGTAGAATTTGGATATTGTGGTAGCACCCACCATCCCCTGTAAAATTTTCATATTTGAAATGGACATCAATTTCCCACTTCATTAATCCGACATTATTAATAGACATCCAACAAAGGACAGATGGATCTGAGTGATTACATAGGTTGTTACCTTTTGATTCTGGGAACGAAACACAAGTTTTTTGTGTGTGTGTGGAAATTGAAAGGTGTGCCAAGGATGGAAATAGGAGAGATTTATCTGCGTTGGGTTGCTATATTATTTTGTGACCTTTTAACTGTTAAAAGAGTTACAAATTGGCATGATGTTAGAAAAGAGGCAGTTTGCCTCCCTTTTTTGGTATTTGTGATGAGGAGTTCTTAAATAAAACATATTGCTTCCAAGTATACACAATGAATTCTTCATAAAATGCAAATAATTGCCTCATGACAAAAGCAAATGCCATTGAGTTAAGTGAATTCCTGAGGAGCCCAAGCATCCAATTAAGCGAGGGAGGTATATTATAATTTTGGAATTGGAGGAACAAAGTAAAAGTGATAATATCATTACATGCAATGAAAGGTAATTATGTCCTGTCAACGCACAAGCTTCCCTGGCTGAACATTAGGGGCTGTTTATTCCCTTCACTGAAGCAGATTTGTTTTCTTTCTAATCTGACAAAGCACCTATCTGCTGAGTTAATAATTACTGCTCCCAGCTGGAAGGTAAGTCTGCAGAGTTGATGGAAGGGCTTTGAAAAGTAAGGCTTTGGAATGACTCTGTCATTTCTAACTTGGCATACGGCGGAAAGGGGCTGTGCTACGCAGTCTCCCCGCTAGCAGAGTCTGTTTCCAGCTTCTTGTGCGTTCGTTCTCGAGCTGTTGCTGCTTTACTTAGTCTGTCCATCTCTCTTGCATAAATCCCTCAAACCCCTGGCTTCTTTTGTTCAGGAAGCCAACGTAGCTGAAGGTTTTGTAATTAACCTGAATTTCCTTGGGCCACTTACTGACAAAGAGTTGGGACATGCACGTCAAGGAGAGCTGTGGACAGCAGGTTAGGTGGTGATCAGGACTGGTTCTTTCTTCTCCTTATTATTATTATTATTTATTTTTTATTTTTTTTTTGCAGCCTCTAGGGATGTACCCAAAGTGGGTCACAGAGGCCATTCGGAATCACAGGGACAGCCAAACTGAAAAGCAGAAGCACCTGGGTGACCAGGTTTCTGTCACAGCCTGTAATTGAAATGCTAGCTTGAGGCTGTTACCACCTCTTGATTCTTTTGAGTGGCCTTTGGAGCTCTTCTTTCTGGCTTGAGCCAACCCTCGCAGAGAGCAATTTTGATGTCCTCACCTAAGGCTGGGGCACAGGCAGGAAATTCTGGCCGGTGCCAAATGCCAACTGGCCAGTGTGGGCATTGTTGCCAAAGAAATCAGTTGAACTTAAGAGGACGTGGTATCACGTTTGTGGCAGGTGTCTTTTCATGACTGTCTGCACCCCTGCATCAGAGAAGAGGAGGGCTGGATATACAGTGCCTTGCTGTGGTCCCCCGGGGGTCGGGAACCATGCTCCCTGCCAAGCCCTTGTCCTCTCTAGCCTCTCAAAGCCTGAATCAATCCTTGTTAGCAATGGCCGTTTTCTGTAGAGGAGTCTCTTCCATTGCAAGGCTGATGAGAAGGGGATTGCTTTATTGCACCAGCAGACACACACATCAGCCTGAGTCACGAGTAGGCAGGTCACTCCGTTGTTTTCATGGAGCGTGTCGCTCAGCTGCTCCAGGAGCTCGAGGTTGGCGATAGCAGCTCAGAGGGTGGTGGCTGGGAGAGACTCTCTAAGAAGACTAGTTGATCTTAAAGGATGCTGGTCAGTACACGGGGCCAACCCCTTAATTGTCCGCACCCATTGCAAAATGAAAACAAGAGTCCCCTTCCTCAAAGAGCCAGATAAACGTACTAAAATCTCCAGGGTTTCCCTTCCTTTTGTGGTCTATCAGTATTTCATAATTTTTTATTTGCCATTTACCACCATTCTCATTAAGTTAAAATTAAAAGTTTTAATTTATTAGCATGAATATTACTGATGATCCTTCTATGGTGCAAAGTGAGCTTTATATGCAAATATGAGAGCTTGCACTTGTATGAGAATCAGTGAAATTACACAATTTGTATTTCATAGCTTATACATTTATGCGTATTTCATTCCAACCCAGAAAGTCGAAAGGGTACACAAAATTAATTTAACGGTGTTTATTTAACTTCTCAGTGTGAGGACACTCTACCAAAGCTCCCTACTTTTGGCTTGCTGTTGAGCATAATAAAATTGAAAAGGAAAAGGTCCTATCTTTCCCTTTCCTTCTCTATCATCATTTTCAGTAGGTTGACGGCCAATACAGGGAAAGAAGACAAGTCAGAAAGGATATGACAGGATTGCTCGTTCACTCACATTTCTTAGAAGACTATAACTGCTCAAGACTGATTAGCCTTCAGCCCTCACCTCCTAATCTCACCTCCTGATTTTTTTTCTTATAATTTTTTTCATGTGGCATTTTCAATAAAGGCCTAGCAAAGAGGACAGATTGCTTCTAGCTCTTGACTCTCTCAGAAAGTCATCTCTTTGCCCTGTTATGGATGGGTTTTCTCACCAAAAGATACACACTTTTCTCCTCCACTCTTAGCCTTTATTTCAGCAAACTTTTTCTGTAAGAGGTCATATAGTAAATATTCTCGGCTTTGGGAGTAATGTGGTCTCTGTCACAACTCAAAGCAATTGACATAATCATGGCAACTCTACCATTGTAGCGTGAATGCAGCCATAGGAAATATGTAAACAAATGGATGTGGTCGTATTCTAATGAAACTTTATTTACAAGAAGAAACCAGGGGCCACCTTTGTCCTATGGGGTGTAATTGTTTTCCAAACCTTACTCTAGAATATCTTGCATTTGACCCCATTCTTGTATTTCTGATTCACTCTCTGATAAATTTATAAAACCCTCCCATGAGATGGGAAGTTGCCATTTATTTTATGTATGACGGAAATTATCGTAGACATTGGAAAGTGTCTTTTCTGAGGTCGTACTATGAGCAATGCCAACTTCTGTGGTATGTGTACTGTCAGTGGGAACTTCTTGCACAGCTCTAACAACCACTGCCTACCTCTAAAGAGTGTTGTAGGGTTCACGTCATCAAAATTCAACAGAGAAATAAAACCTTCACTGTGAGAATATCATGACTCCCTCCTTCCTGGTGATGGGGACTGGGGGAAAGGAGTCTGCTGATGACAGGGTTTGCAGCTGCTCCCACCACCACCCAGCACCTTTGTGGGAGGGGTTGAACGGGGAGCAACAATAGCAGCATAAAACCTAGTCACAATGGAATGCCAAATGCAAGTGCAAATAATTATTAGGAATGTGAAAATTACATAGCAACTTGTTGTCACCAGTGGTCTACAGAGAAACAGCCCTATTGTACTTTGAAGAAGTTAATTGTCCGTAGTGTTTTTGAAGTAATACTGCTCATTTTACTTGAGGAATTTTATACAGCTCCCAGATAAAAGTCCCCGATTCATTTCTGGTGATGTTCTGTTCTAAGTTATTCTCTTGGCTCCTGTGATACCACCCCCTTCTTATTCTCCAAACTCACTCCTTCTCTTGTCTCCTCAGCTAGTTCTTATTTTTTAGTTTAATGATTAAAGTTCAGTTTCCCACATTATTAAGCCTACATTTCTACTTAGATCTTATAAAAAATTAAATGGATTTGTTAATTTCCTTATATTGATGCCATTTAATTTCAGTCCAAAAATTCCTGGAAACTCATGACTGTTCCTCTACAGGGGATTAATCAGGGTTGTTTTCACTGCATTCTGGGCAATAGTAGATGGTTAATAAATATTTGTTATAAAAATGTTTAGATGTATATATAGAGAGAGAGAGAGAGAGAGATGGATGTAGATGGATGATGAATTAATGGATACATGAATAGAACTATTTCTGAAGCACTATGTTCAGTACATTGTTAGAAAAAATGATGATCGATAAGTCAGTGAGTTAACATAATCTCCTGTTAACTTTCTGCTTTAGGAATTTCACTAACAGAATTTGAGCACATTGATAAAGCATATATTTCCTAATAAAACCTTGAGACCTTGAAAAATCTTCACGTCCTTGTCACTGATTCATAGCTTATTGTGCTTGTTTATAGGATAGTCAAAATTCAGAATGTAATGAAGGTGAATTTCTGGGGTACTGTAATTACACTGTAAAGCACAGAAATTGGGTGGTAAGAACTAAAAACTCTTGGGCTAGGATCCCAGCTCTTCTCAGTACTAGGTTTTTTTTTGTTGTTTTTTTTTTTGAGGGGAAGAAAAAGAATTTATTTTACATAAATGAATGAAAAATAATTCAAGAAATAGTAAATAAAATTTAATATGGTCTCATGCGCCCTAAAGGAGGTGGTGCCCGATTTGGAGGTGTGATTGCTATGTCCAGATAGTCTCCTATTTGGAACTTCTGCGACTGCAGGGTCATGGAGTCATCAGTCCCCTTCCTCCCAGACATGGTGCTGCCAATCTCCTTTACTCGATAGCCAGGCCTTTTAGGATCTGTAAAAACAATTGCAAAATTGAAGTGTGTGCCCTTCTTTCTAGCTTCTGGGTAGACTTCTTTTACTAAACTAGTCAACTCTTTCAAAGTTGCATCCATCCAAGTGTAGATCTGCAGCTCGCTGGACGGTACGTTTCCGCGGGAAAACTCGTCCATTCGGTGGTGGCGGCCGTTATTGGTGGTGAAAACACGCAGCAACAGCGGGCACGTTTTCTCCCGATCGATCGGTTTCTCCGGCTCCTTCTTAATTTCCTCCTGGGTAACGCGCGACTCCACCGCCATCTTCCTCCTACGGCCCGCGAGACGCTCCCTCAGTACTAGTTTTTATTTGCCATTTACCACCATTCTCATTAAGTTAAAATTAAAAGTTTTAATTTATTAGCATGAATATTACTGATGATCCTTCTGTGGTGCAAAGTGAGCTTTATATGCTAATATGAGAGCTTCCACTCATATGCAAATCAGTGAAATACACAATTTGTATTTCATAGCTTATACATTTACGCGTATTTCATTCCAACCCAGAAAGTTGAAATGGTACACAAAATTAATTTAACATTTTTTATTTTACTTCTCAGTGTGAGGACACTCTACCAAAGCTCCCTACTTTTGGCTTGCTGTTGAGCATAATAAAATTGAAAGGAAAAAGTCCTATCTTTCCCTTTCGTTCTCTCTCATAATTTTGAGTAGGTTGACGGCCAATACAGGGTATTGTATGTAATGGTGGGTAATCATTTGGATACTGTGGGCCTGGCCTCACTTTTATCATTATAAAATAGTGTATTTGCACTAGAAAGCAGTATCATTTGGTAATCTAACGAGTTACAAACAGCAGAAAATTCTTAACAAATTTGGCTTAACCATGAAACTAATTTTTTGGTTTATATCACTCCAGTGTAGTGGTAAAACGCTCATAGCCTAGACGAGCCTAAGAAGGTAGGAGTACTAAATGTGATATAATATCCTGGATGGCATTCTAGAACAGATAAACGACATTAGGTTAAAATCTAAGGAAATCAGAGTGAAATATAAACTTTAATTACTAATAATGTATCAGTATTGGTTCACTGATTGTGACAAATTTACCATGCTACCGTAAAATGTTAACATTAGTCAAACTGAGTGCCAGATGAATGGGAACTCTGTAGTTTTCTATAACTGTACAAATGTTCTAAAATAATTTGGATATAAGAAATACTCAAAGTGGCGGGATATCAGCAAGATAACAGTCCAAGAAGCTTTGTAATTTCACTCTCCCACATAGATACTGTGTTTCTATATGGAGCAATATACCATATACCAAAGGCTGGAAGAGATTTTTTTTCCCAAATGCCCAAGTTCAACAACGACAAAAAATTGTGGTATACTAAAAAACAAGGAAACGTGGGCCAAGCAAAGCAACAAAATTAAATGCTTGAAATGGACTCTAATGTAATACACATCCATGTGCATTACATGGCTTTGTTTCACATGTCAAAAGACCAGTCATGAAAATGTTCAATGAGCTAAATGAGAACAGAGTTAGCAACTAAACGAAATAAGGAAAACAATGCATGAACAAAATGAGAATTTCAATAAGGAGATATAAACTATAAAACACCCCAAATGGAGGGGCGCCTGTGTGGCTCAGTCGTTAAGCATCTGCCTTCGGCTCAGGTCATGATCCTGGGGTCTGGGATCGGGCCCCGCATCGGGCTCTCCGCTCCGCGGGAAGCCTCCTTCTCCCTCTCCTACTCCCCCTGCTTGTGTTCCCTCTCTCTCTGTCTCTCTCTCTGTCAAATAAATAAATAAAATCTTTAAAAAAAAAACAAAAACACCCCAAATGGAAATTCTGGTGTTGAAATGAAAGGTACACTAGAGGAGTTTACAGCAGACTTGATAAGGCAGGAAAAAAAACTGCATGAAATTGAAGACAGGTCATTTGAAGTGGTGGAGTCAAAGGAGCAAAAAGAAAAGTAGTAGGAGGAAAAATGAAGAGAGCCTTAGAGACCGTGGGACACGAATCAACATTATACGCATTAGGGAAGGCCAAAAAGAGAAGAGGGTCAGAACTGGGCATAAACATTCTTTGAACAAGTAACCATGGAAACTTCCCAAATTTGAGGAAAGAAATATACACAGTAATTGAAGAAACTAAACTCAAATAACATAATTCAGGATAAATCCAAAAAGACACACAGCCAGTCAGATGATAATCAAACTGTAAAAGTTGAAGGCAAAGAGAAAATCTTTGACTGGAAGAGAAAAACAACCCATCACATACAAGGGAGTTTATATAAGGTTATGAGTGGATTTTTCTGCAAAAACATTGTAGACTACAACGAGTGAGATGATATATTCAGATTGCTGGAAAAAAATAATTTTCAACCAAGAATAATATATCCAGGAAAACTGTCCTTCATAAATGAAGAAATTAAGACATTCTAAGAAAAATTCTTTAAGAAATGGTGAAAGGAGTCCTTTAAGGTGAAAGGAAAGGATGCTATACCTTAATGCAAAGTCAAATGAAATTATGAAGTTCTCCAATAAAGCTAAGTATGTTGACATAAATAGCTTCCTCTATTAATAGAATCTTCATGGATCAGTTCAGTTTTAATTCCTACATAGGATTTAAATGATAAAGACATTGAAAAATAACATAAATCATGAAAATGAGTATACAGTATTTAAAGATGCGATTTGTGACATCAGTAACATAATGTGCCAGGGGAGGGTAGAACTTTTTGAGTGTTTTTTATATGCAATTGAAATTAAGTTTTTATCTGTTTGAAATAGAATGGTATAATATTACAATGTTTTATGTAATTGTAATGATAGCCCACAAAGAAATTATCTATAAAATAGAAGAAAAAGGGAGGTGGTAATAGAAGGAAGGCTGGACAAAAAGATACAATTTAAGTAGCAATAGTATGTCCTTTTATATCAGTAATTTCTTGAAGTACAAATAGATTAAACTCCCCAATCAAAGCACATATTTATTAAGAAGGTATTTTAGAAACACAGAATCTGACTATATACCATGTATAAGAAACTCACTTTTGATTTCACAACAATCAACGTGAAAGTATGGGAAAAAATTACATTTAAATGGTAACCAAAAGAGCCAGGGAGTGGCTATGTTAATATCAAACAAAATCAGTTTTATTTATTTATTTTTTGTAGATTTTTATTTATTTATTTAT